GGTGAAGTTGTCATTTAACACTCCCGGGCATTAGGAAGACATATTCTTTTTTCTTAGGTTGGTAGGACTGTCTGTAAAATTTGACAAGCGTCTGTTTGTCAAGAGGTTTAATTATCTCCGAGTTACACGTGTTTTCGTAAAAAATCAAAATTTTGTTTGCGGAACGAATATTCTTGTGCGGACACGTTGAAAATGTTGCAGAAGGCCTTTAGTGATCAAACTATGGCACAAAAAAAGTTTATAAGTGGTGCCAAAATCGTTCAATTTTTTGGAAAAACAGCATCGCGTTGATGTGTGTGAAACATTACTGGAGACGAGACTTGGATTTACGTATGCGACCCTGAAACTACCGACCAACCCAGCGAATATCGTGCAAATGGTGAAGCAAGACCGAAAAGACCACGGCAAAGTCGATCGGAAGTCAATGACATGCTGACAGTTTTCATTCATTATCGTGGTGTGGTGCACTATGAATTCCTTCCGCCGGGCCAAACCGTCAACAAAGAAGATTTCTTGAGCATCATGCGTCGTTTGCGTGAAGCTATTCGTTTGAAACGGCCGGAATTATGCGCGAACAACTTTTGGTTCCTTCATCACGATAACGCACCATGTCATACTGCATTGGTTCTTTCATATCGTTCTGCAACCGCCGAATTCGCCTAATTTGGTTCCGTGCGACTTCTGGCTATTCATCAAAATCAAAAGGCCAATGCGGGGATGGCGTTTTGACACGACTGAGGAGATAAAAACCAAATCGAAGAAGGTCTTGAAGGCTATACCGGAAAGAGACTATTCCGACTGGAAAAAGCGTTGGCAAAAGTACGTTTTATCGGACGGGGATGAAGGGAATGAAATTGATTTGGAAGGATAAGTGAAGAATTTACATTTTATAAACAATTTCACCTTATTCTTTGATCACAGTATAAGCTAATGAGACAGTTTTGGAAATATTTCATTATATCTATACTTTTAAAAGGAAATACCATATTTTTGATCTTTGCGTTTATAAATACTAAGTGACATATACAATGCAACACCCAGAATGATGTATTGAATTTTCATAAAAACTTATTTGCTATCATGGAAGTATAGTTTTGCCGATAAAATGTTGAAGGCATGCCAAGCCGTACTTTTTTTGTAAAAGCTTTTTTGTCATATCAGCATCCGAACAATAGGAACATGTTTACTTAACATTCAGTGATTTTCCTGACTTTGTTTCATTGAATTATCATGCCTAGAGTTCGCAGACGCGCAATTTTACTCCATTTTCCGAGTTTCAGAGGGGTCGAGTAATTGGGTTACCTGAAACCGGATTTTCTTTTAGAGATATGGCTAATCGGGTGAATCGAAATGAAGATACTGTAATGAGATATTGTCGAGCGTAACTCCAAGAAGGCCGAAATCGACGAGTTAGAGGTACTGGACGTCAAAGACAGACTATAGAGCAACTAGCACTTAAAGATCGATTTTCCACAACAAGGGCAGTCGAGAACCAGTGGTTTGATGCTGTCGGAAGGGCAACAACTATGAGGACAGTTTATTGCCGAATAAAGCCTTTTGTACCTTTTTCATACCGTCCCCATCTTGTACATAGTCGGCAACGACTTGAATGGAATATGGAATGGAACTCAGTCGTTTTCAGCGATGAGTCCAGATTCTGTTTGGGCACACATAACGGCCATGCAAGAGTAAGGAGGAGCCGTGGTGAAAGAAGGAACGTTCAATATTCCATCGAACATCATATTCATCGCTCTGTGGGTGTTATTGTATGAGGTGCCATTGCTTACGGCAGCAGGTCACGATTGGTGTTCATTCGAGGTGGCATGACTGCCCAGCGCTATATCCACGAAGTTTTACAACCACATCTGCTTCCCTTTTTGGAACATTGCAAGATCCACTTTTTCATCAGGTACAATGGACGACCTTTTTAGAAGCGTCCTAAGTAAATCTGCTTCAGAGGGCTCTTCGATCTCCAGACCTTTCCCCGATTGAACATGTATGTGACACGACAGGAAGTGGGTTGCAAGATTCACCGCAACCTCCACATACATTGGAGGCTCTACGAAACTAAATTTAGATGGCCTGGGATACACACCAAGAAGACATACATCAATCACCGAATCGAATCACTGCAGCGACGACTTAACGAATGTGTAGCGAACAGAGGAGCTTGAATACATTATTAACATTAAAGTGGGATATCTCAGCTATTTTGCGAAATTTCGAGTTAAAATTTTAATCACTTTCTATTTATCAGTAGACCTAAAACTTGCAAAAGTATTTTCAAAATTTAGTATATCTGTATCAGTCATTAATACATGCGGAACAGAATCCTTAGAAACTGTACACCTAATGTATATTAACCAGATACCTATACTTTGTTTCCAATATTGGTAAAATAGATTATACCTAAAGTATAATCAATCTCATCCATAGTAAAATTAATTAATTTTACTTGATATGGTTTACTGGAAATAAACAGATCATAATTAATAAAAAACAATCATATACGCATAATACAAACACCATCATCTCAGGTAGGCGTAACATGTTAACGACAACTGCGTAAAAAGCTTAACAATCGTATATAAAAGGTTTTCTCATCTCATTCAATTCAATTTAATTTTTTCAATTCAATTCTTTATTTGTGTTAAGTACACCAGCGTGTTTACACATGTCAAAAGAAAAAAAAATAGTACAAAAAGCAGTCTGACAAAAGACCGATGTTCAAATTTAACAGGAAAACATCAACTTATGACATTATGATTCAACAAAAGCAGATACAGCAAGTCCAATAAGTTGTAAAAACAGGAGGACATATATACGTACATAGATACACGCATATTCATTTAACCACAATACGTATGTTTACTTCTACACACACACACATATATACACATATACACATATATACGTTAAAATGGTAAGACATATGAAATGTTGATATAAGGATTTACCAGATGACTTAGTAGAAAGTTCAAGGAGCCTAGAGGATCCCAGGTGTAGGAATACTGTTATATTTGCTAACAATCCGACAAGTCTGAAAAATTATTAATCAAATACTCCTTCATCGAGTAAAATGCTTTAGTAGTCAGATAAGCATTAATTTTATTTTTAAAAACTTTCGCATCCAGTTTCTTTATACGGTCTGCCAACAGGTCATAAAAAAGTATCCCATAATAGTTTGTGCCGTTCCTGATGGTTTCGAGACGGCTATGAGGTACTAAGATTTTATCCATATTTCTGGTTCTATTACTGTGGACATCACTGTGGGTAGTATATCGGCTCAGGTTAGTCTTTATATACATCAGACGTGTGAAGATGTAAAGAGAAGGTACTGTCATGATTTTCAATTCTATAAAAGCTTCCTTGCAAGGTTCCGTGTATTTGAGGCCAGCAATGTACCGCTGTAATACAAAAACTTTTGACGAATGGGCAGAGTGGCCCCAGTTTAACAATGCGTATGAAATTCTTGATTGAAAGTAGGAATAATATGTTAGAAGAAGGACTGACTGAGAGACATTTTGTTTCATTAATGGAGAATCTAGAAATGCCAAGGAACAACTTTCTGGCATAGATTTGAAAACAGCAGGTGAACGTTTTTATTTGTGAATTCTTTTGTTGTCTGGTTCAGTTGGAAATATAGATGCAGATTTTCGATTCGTCCAGGGACGGGTCAAATAAGAGCGGACGTCCAATTTCCTAGGAAGGTGTAAGGGAGTCTGATGACATCTCGAAGAGACGAAAGAACCGTAAGAAGCTTTGCTAGAGTTGGATGACTCCGAAAATTGAACGAAAACCTGGCATTTGTGGGAAAATTTTCCGAACTCGAATCATATTTAGTGGATGCACTTTAACATGGATTAAGTGGCTGTAAGGCGACAATCCGGTGAAAATTTGTTAGATCAAAAACATCCGAATAAATTATGGGTATTTTTAGTTTTTCTTTATTATTTAGCCAATTTTTGAGTTGTAAGCAATTTCAGACCTGTGAACCCCTAAAAACGGACATCTTCAATAGTCAATGCTTGGAAATTCGGTTAAAAATTATAAGTTTTAAGTTTACCAAGTGTCTCAATTAACGTCCAAATCTTTCACGCATAAACCTCGAAATTGGCCAATTTCAAGGTTTTTCAGAGTTTAAATCGCGTGTAAGTTAAAAACGTTAAACTTTAGAGAAAGGTTACTAGACTTTTTTGTCCCGAATGATCCAAAAAAAACTAAAATAATATTGGAGCGACCATACTAATATTTGGTAATAAGATATTTATATTAATTATAGACAAGATGACATTTCGTCGGTTTCCTTTGACGCTTTTTAGGTTTTTTACATAATAGCCCTTCCGGTAATCCCTCTTGTTAAGGGGAATCCAACAAACAAGATGATAAAAACTAATCGACTTGTGTCATGAATCAAGGTTTCTGCCCCGTCGAGGAGAGTACCCGTCTGACGTCTTATGTCTGAAGGTCACTTCCCTTACAGATGGCACATTTCGATGCATAAATCTTGATCAGTAACTCTATATTAACCTTGGAGTCGGTTACAGTCGTTCAATTCTGTGTGAAAGGCTATTTACTGTTTGAAACGTTTCTTCTAAAGCCCTGGGTGTTTTTATACCTTTCTGGAGTGGTTGAATTGAAAATTAGCAATATTGAGACAAGGTAACTTTTTTATCGAAATCAGGCAAGGTTATATTTTTCAGACAAAGGATCCGGCACTTCCAAAATAAATCTTCATTAGAAATATTGTCTTAAGGCTAGTCCATGCCTAGTGAAATAAATGAGTTAACTATCAAATTTCATTGGATTATCGGATTGAACTACTGTAATTTTGATCAAACCCTATAGAAAAAAAACTATTTCTCCAAAACAAAGCGACATTTTGGAAATCGTCAAACGACAAGCCAGTCGAAAGATAGTCCAAATAATCACCCTTTGATTTTTTGCGCTATGTTATAAAAACATTCTGCAGATATTTAGTTCTTTCTCGGTTGTTACAGGTCACACACGGAAAATCAGCATCCCGAATTGCGTAGAGTTCCACATGACAACAAATGCCTGCCGCGGATACTGCGAAAGTTGGGCAGTTCCCTCCAGTCCTCTCATTACCCCTAGCCAGCCAGTGACGTCCGTTGGAGAATGCTGCAACATCATGGAAGCTGAACCAGTCGAAAAAAAGGTACCTGCTTTGATATTCAAATGTATCTACAACTTCAGATGGAAACTGAGCGTTAGTAAAAGGCGGAAAATGTAACAGAGCAAATGATTTTCATTTAGATACCCGAGAGTCACATACAGAAATGATCCCTAGGGTTAGAGACCCTCAACGGGTAAAAATACCTTCCATCACCTCATTATATTTAGCTAGATACTCTCTAAGCAAATCTGCAAAAGAAAGAAACGAAAAGCCTAATTGCCTAATTGCTTTGATGTCTAACACTTTTTATTATTATTATGATACAGGAATATTTGTGATATTTGAATTGACATGTGATGATATTCTCATTCTCACAGGTTTTAAGTCAGACTCCAAAATGGATATTATCACAGATTTCAGCTATGTTACGTAACACACTATACCGTGTCATAGCTACTATGAACATGTTAGGATATTATGGATGCCAGGTACGGTAAACGCTCCGTTTCAGTAGATACAATTGTTGGCATTGAAACTTTTCCATTCCATTTCGTTTTTCACTTCTACGTGAATCCGTGATTTTCGACGGATTCCTTCATCTTCCGTAACTAAAAATCTCACAACAAAAACAGGTTCATAACACCTTACGGTATAGTGGATATTGCTTCATTTTTAACAGCTGTAACGCTGAATGTTGGCGGCAATAATAACCGCGTTGGGAAGCAGGAATCGCCCCTATGTCGCTGCCTGGCGTCATCTATCGGTGTTTACCGGATCTGGAACATCTGGAACTAACCTCGTAACTCCAGAATTCTAGAACAGTCCGAGAAGTGGGCGTCGCGTACTTAGAAGTCAGAAGCGGGGTGAATACAGTTTAGTTGGGAGTGAGCCAGGGAAGAGCAGTCGACGCTAATGAGAACCAATAAAAATTCGTTACAATACAAAGAATACTGTCGGGTCGGATACGATTCTAGTATGTTACGGTATAATGGGCAAAGTTTACATGCTAAAATGAGGCAAAGTTCAATTACTTGGAAGTCAACAGTCACGATAACTGGTTAACTCTGGTAACTAGCTTTAGTGAATAACAATTTTATTTACGATCAGCATCTTTTTTTATGTCTGATTCTGTGCTTTTGATGTTTGCAGGTACTTTGCGTTGACGGAGTTAGGACCCTGATCTTTAAATCGGCTGTCACTTGTTCGTGTTACCATTGCAAGAAAGACTAAGGACTCATGCCACTTCTGTAACATAAAGCCATCACTGTAAATTTGAATAAACCTATCTATATTGTATATATTGTGCTGACTGACCTGACTGATTTTATTGTACATTAAGTTCATTAAATGGTTTTATTTCTTAAAACTACTTTTTAATAAGTTAGCTTCATAAGGCTGAATGCACTTGGTTTCTGCCTGTGGGACCCAGCGAACAGCATAGAGCACTGATTCATTCTTGTTTGGGATTCCTAGAAGGTACAGTTCTTAAAAATAAGCGAAATAATGTAAACAGAATATATTCTCTGGATAAACTACTACGTATATAAGTTTGCTCAAAAAGTTGGTCAGTACCATGCACTGTTTGACGGAATCGGTACAGCCTGACCCCTATGCCGAGGATACAGATACAGGCTGTCGCTGGGTAACCCTAGTTTCAACGTTTTTCTTCATGAAAGAACTTTCGAAATTAATTTTACTAGGCTATATCCTTCAAACCATCCGTTATTCCTACTTCCGTTCGAGATGTTTACCAAATAAACATACCGAGTTTCACTAGACTATATTCAGCAGTTCTCTCCAGACCATCGAACCAAATAGCACAATGGCACCCGCAGCCGTGGCCGCCCCTTTCAGTGCGCCCAATCTCATCCGAGATGGACAACCTTAATTTCACTATATTTTATCCGTTACTGATCCCGACTTTATAGGATGCTCGGGTATTATGTAAAAAAAACTAAAAAACGCCAAAAGAAGCCAACAAAATGTCATCTTGCAGAAGATTTTTAGTGTGCAAATAGTTGATTCCACGTTTGCTCGCTATGATCGCTGTTCGCTGACGTTTAAGCAAGACGTACAGCTGCAAAACGAGTTCACAACAAGTGTACAACAACCTCTGCTATGTTAACATGATGTAGAAAAACCAACGTTATGTCACCAAAAAACCTACGAAATGTCATTTTTCAAGATACGTAATGCCCGTACCGATGTTTCGAGTAATCCCGCGAGAACAATTTCACCAGACCATATCCTTTAATCTGCACGGGGATATCGAGCAATTCCTTTCAGCGAGTTTGCCAAATAAACTTTTAAGGTTAATCTCACCAGATTATATCCCTTAAACTATACATGGCATTGACTTCTTCAGTTCAAGATGTTTGCCAAATAAACTTTAGAAGTTAATGTTACCAGACTATATTCCTTGACAAACCACCACCAAGATAATTTAGTCTGGTGAAACTAATTTTGCAAGTTTGGCAATATAAACTTTTTTTGGACAGAGGAACGCCATCACAGCTGCCCTTAGGTAAAAAAAGACAGTATTGCCTGCCGACTTTTCTGGACTGATGAGTGAGATTTTCCAGAATCCCTCAGTCATTGGCTACACAGAGGCCATGGCCTCCTGCCTCCTCCCATACGCCACTGGTAAGTGAAAACAAAAGTACTGTATCATCTAAACTGGTGGACAGTTGCCTTGCAACATGGAAAAATTTACCCAAATTTAAATCTCGATATTTTCGGAACGGAAAGAGATTTGGAGTTACGGTATTTGGGAGATTCTTGACCAACTGTTTGAAAACACGTACAGGGTTTCATCGATATATTTTTCTTCTTTATCCACTTATACAGAGTGAACAAAGGAAGTCAGGTTCTATAGCAAAGTTTGGGGCTATGTCAGATCCTCAATTTTTGATCCTGTAAATTTTTCTATGCATATTTTTGATCTTTGAACAATCCTAAAAAAACCGTTTTCTCAAATTTTTTGCAAGTTGGCTATAACTCAAATTATCGAATTTTAAAAAAGTGTTTCGTTTATCCCTAAAAAGGGATGTCTTGAGAATGGTTTTTCTCATACTGTTGCATAAAGTGGAATTTCTTGCTCCCAAGAAAATATTGTTACTGTGTCCAGTGGCATGTAGTAAGAATTCGCTACTTTGACACTATGTAATTTAAACCGAATTTATAAATTTTACTGTGCAGTTACTACTCTTAATATAGTGACGTAACACCAAAAGCATTTTTTGGCTTGATAAAAAGTGCTAATATCTGAATTTTTTTTTCAACGTACGGATGCTGGCCAACACTGGTTATTAATCTTTTATCTGGAACTTTTTATCTTTCTCATTGAGCATTGTCGTACGCGTCTTCTTTGGTGATGTTTTCCAATAGGTAATAGACTCTGTTAAATTTTTAAACAACAGCACCTTATTGATTAACATTAACAATATGTAACATTCTAGAAAAGAAAAATTTTAAGACCAGACCTAAATTATTTATTTATGACAAAAGCGAACTTCTTTCAAAACCGCAACAGTTATTTTAAACAATATTGTTAGTACCTTGTAGAGCCACCACGCACATCGATCAGAGCCTGGCATTTTGTGTTGACTGCACTAAAATTTTTAGTCGAGACCACATATGCTCAATTATGTTTAGGTCTGGAGGCTTTGATGGCAGAGGCAATAATGTAACATTATTTTCTGCCAAAGGGATTATAATCGTACGAGCTTTGTGCGGCCTGACGTTATCATCGATGAAGGCAAAACCTCCCCAAAATCTTGTACAAGCGGTAAAACAATATTGTTTAAAACTGCAGCATTGACTGTCCTGTTTGAATTGAAGAGTTAGGTTTTACCATTTGTGCATAACTCCAGCCCAAACAGTAATGCCACTTCCACCAAAGGCCTCTTGTGGAGCCAAATTTTCTTCATCATAGCTTGCCTCCAAAAAAGGTCCCTACCATCAGAGTGGTGCAGGTTGAAGAGTGTTTTATCGGAGCGTGCATTTTTGCCATTGCTGATGCCAATTTTCCAGCTCCTGTGCCCATTGGTACCTGGCGACTCTATGGTTGTTCCAGAGTCGGGTGCACTTGGCGCGACGCCTTGCTCTGGAAGAACTGATACTTAACCAAAAAAGTACCTGGTAAATTTTTTATAACATTAACATACCTTATCAATTTAGAATTTAAAGATCTTCTTACAATAAGTACGATCATTCACTAAATGACCTTCTGTCAATAATCTTAGACAATTATCTCGTTCTTTTTGAAAAAACCAGGCATCTTTAAGAATATAAAATTATGCTGTCAAGTTTACAGTCAATATTATTGTTACTTAGCAATTGCACTTTGAGGTGTAGGTAGTTAGGATGAAACAGGAGAAACGTCATATTTGCATGAAGAGGGTAATCCAAAAAAAAAATATATATGAGGTCGAGCCGGCATTTATTGCGGAAAATTAAAAATTCGATTAATTGAGTTATAGCCAAGTTTCGAAAAATTTGAGATATTACTTTTCTAAGGATAGTCCAAAGATCAATATGCAAAGAAAAATGTCCAAGATCAAAAATTGAGAATCTGACAGCCCCAAACTTTGCTAAAAAAACTGACTTCTTTTGCTCACCCTGTATAAGCGGATAAAGAAAAGAAATATGCCGGTCGAACCGTGTTCTCAAAGAGCTGGCCAACAACCTCCCGAATACAGCAACTCGATAGTTCTTTTCGTTCCGAAAATATCGAGATTTGAATTTGGGTAAAATTTTCCATGTTGTAAAGCAAATGTTCACCACTTTATGTTTCTGTGCTCATGAGCAAGTAGCAATTGCGCTACGGATCGGCTTACGCAGAATGCAACTCCTCTTAGGGAAATTAAACTACGCGCGTGGGACCATTAGCAAAGAATACAAAGTTACATGTAGAAGGAGCACTCACAGAAAAGCCTGACTTCTGACGATAGCGACGTTTTTCTAAGAACTCTGATCCTTTTTTTTATGATGGCTCACTTGAAGAGGTCCCCAACTTTATTGCTTTATCCAAGGCAGTGCTGTCATACTATGCCAAGAAATTGTTTGTAATGGGATGGAGTGATTTTATTTATACAGGGTGATTCATGTTATTTTTGTTTTTATGGCACGGACAATGGTTGACAAATATCGTTTGCTTAAAGAATTGCGAGTTGAAACATAGTCTTTAGCCTCTTCGTCAATAATTGGCGATTACTCACCTGTTGTACTGACTTCATTGTCATTACGTAACCTCAGCAACCACTTTGCCGATTTTATAAAACTTGGAATATACTGTATGGTCACACGTTTGAAAATGGATGTAAAAGGGCGTTGACTTAAGTAAATTGCAAATATTTTTTTAATTTCTTATATAAACTACAAGGGATATGGTATGAGTGTGACTGCAAAAGGTGTACCATCAGAAACTATTCAAAACAAATATACAGGTCAAACCAGTAATATAGTCATCAGACCTCAAACTAGGCTCCAGTTTGAATATGCTGGAATAACAATAGTTGTCCAAATCGTAACACCACATCGAGGCACGCAGCACCAAGTTGATATAGTGTATCGCCCTGTACAAATCAGACAGCTACGCGACCCACTTCGGATAGGATGTCCGCCATCGACTACCTGGACAGTTATAGTACAGGAAGTGTCTTTGCATCTGCTTAGAAGCATACTTTGCTTGTTTTTTCGCATAACCTCATTCTAAAAATATCGCTTTTAACGGATCAGCATGTTGCCAGTCCTAAAATTGGGTCAAAATTGTTTTTCTTTTTCTTTAAGGTTGTGCAAAAAGCCTAATAGGAATATTTTCCGGAGCGAAGATAATTCCTGGACTATCACCGCAGGTAATGAACGGGTGATCGCATGCAAGTAGCAGGTAGCACTTCAAGCACCAGAGGTATCATGTCAGCCACCGCGGCAGAATCTGTGTTTTTCGATAGTGTCTCGTCTGCTGATAACACTGTATTCTTTGACATTAGTCAATTTGTTCAATTATTTTGTATGGCATTGTGATGTAACCGCCAAAAACTGCGAAGAGAGCCATAGGTCATTTTTCTAATTCCTGCTACTCTCTGAAGTTCCTCTACTGCCAACGCCGATATTGGATAGTCTGCATTCCTCAGCTCAACGGCACTCTAACTTGTTGTTTCAAAAGCTAATGATCTAAAAAATAGAAAATTAAATGCATATCTTTGTATCACTAACGAGGAATGTATAATCAAATTTAATTGCGAGTCTTTTGATTTCATTTTGCTTTACATCAATTACGCGATTTACCCAAGCAAGCCTATGTGATAATTGCTCAGAAGAATCATGCTCTAAAAATGATAATTCAGAGATGCACTTTAAATGAAT